CATGCCACTCCCTTCTGGCCTATAAGCTTTCTGCTGAAAAATCAGCGCATTGTCTTATGGGGGTTCCCTTGTATGTAATTGGTTTTCTCTTGCTTCTTTTAAGAATTTCTTTTAACGTTTGACACTTTAATTATGTCTTGGTGTGGGTCTCTTTGGAAAACCACTTTGGGATCATCCAACCTACCCCCCGCACCCCCGTGACTGTAATTCATCCAGTGCCCACGTGTGCCGATGAGCCCGAGCAGCAGAGCCTCGTGCACTGTGGGGTTCGCCCTTCCTCTCATCCTCCCTGTTCCCGAGTCAACACACAGTTGGACATGCTGCCTTACCAAAGACAAAGACTTCACTCTGCTGCGGATGCCAAGCCAGTGAGGTAGGAAGGTAGCCAGAGGCACTGCAGCCTGCGAGGGAGAGAAGAGGGGTCTGGAATGAGACTCAAGCCCAGCTCTGAGAAGAAGCTTCTCAGATGGAATCACTCTAAATCCCAGGAGCGTCTTTATTTGGTTTCCCAAACCCTGCAGTCACGTTCTCATCCTTGACCCTCATAACTTACATCTATCCATCAGCCTCCTGCCCTTTCCAGACACGTGTCATGGGCAAGTTACAATAACAAATCCTGAACACAACACCTCTGACTCCTTTGTTCATTCATCCAGGAAACGTAGAGTAAATCACCCACCCAGAAACCAGCCCGTCCTCTTGGGACCAGCTGCACAAAATGGGATCAGCAGAACTTCTGTGCAAAGAAAACAGTTTTGCCATTTATGTCATAGTGACTGGACATCTGGCAACCTTACCTTTGACTCTAGCCAAGGAAAGCCTCTTTCAGGTGGATTCTTAGCACCATTTAAAAACAAAACAGGCATGGCCTGACTGAAAAGGACTGAAAAGGAAAGAACATGCACTCACTTTGGTATGAATTCAGAACCATCTGCTGAGCAAAGTCCCAAACCCTGATGCTAAGAAGCAAAAGGACACAGATACTGAATTTTGAACTACACTATGTACATAAAAAACATGTGTTCAAACAAGAACTTCCTTTGGACTGGTATGTCCTATGTCTTTGCCTACTAGACTTCTGGTATAGTCTACTTTTATAATAGATTGCAAAATCTCCAAAAAAACTTATAGACTCATCATAATTAGTCACTTGGTTCTTATAATGAGCCCCAAGTGTTATTTAGTGAGGCTAATGTGACACTAAAGACACTCAGAGGAGGCCTAGGGACAGGAGCAATGAGAGCAGGGACCCACCAGAAGTCTTTGCTCCCGCTGACAGCTTGTGTGCCAGAGCTCAGGACACTGACTGTAGACACAATGCCATCGTGCTCATACTTGCCAGACCTTAACTCAAAGTGGGGATTCAAGTAATCCATTGTCAGTAAATTAAGAAGTTATTCCTATAAAAGCAGTATTCTGCTCAGAAGTCCCACAGGTACTGAATTTACAAAGGAACTGGTAGTGTAAATCTGCCAAAGCCACCTGGAACATGGCTCAAATTTCAGCCCTAAGAGTGGCTTCTGAAGTCCCACAGCCCCTGGATATGGGCTCAGATTTCAGCCTCCACTTGGGGGCAACCCACCAGCAATTGTGCCTGCCCAGAGCAAGCCAAGAAGGAGAATGCTATGGTAGGGTCTCACCCCTCCCTTCATGAGGGCATGTTAACAACGGGTCTTTAATGGCAGGACCACACCCTGTGAGCCTGCAGAGAAGGAAGCTGCTATGGTGGGGTTCTGCTCTTTCCTTTGTGAGAGCACATTAACAGTGGGGCTTCAGTGGTGTGCCCAGGCTCCTTTACACACACTCCCAGTTTCAGCCTGTATCACAATCCATCCCCTTCATGCTGTCTCTGCGCAGCCAACCCCAGTCCTCTCCCTGAGTCCGTCCTCTGAAAAGGCTTCAGCTTTAGCACCTAGTCTAGGCATGCACCCGCAGGCTTGTGTCTCAGGCTGGGGACAGCACAGACCCTCCGTGCTGGCTTCTCGCTGTTCTGTCTGCCACAAAGTGGTTGCTACTCTCTTCCAAGCTTCTGAAGCTTCCCTCCTGTGCCAGCTGATTTTCCCGCTGGTGAGGGGGTTTCCCAGGGCGAGGGGATTTTTCCTCTTTCACCACTCCCTCCCTGGGGCACAGGTGCCATCCAATTCTGTTTGTTTGTTTGTTTGTTTGTTTGTTTTTCTATCCTACCTGGTTACTTGAAGATTTTTCTTGTAGTTGCAGTTATATAAGATCTTCTACCAGAGTTCAGTAGGTATTCTGTGAGGATTGTTCCACATGTAGATGAATTTTTGATGTTATTTGTGGAAGACAGTGAGCTTCACATCCTTCTACTCTGCCGTCTTGAAGCCCCTGCCTGTGAACATTCTTCTGATTCATATTCCATTTCATTCATTTATTTTTAGATTTTATTATTTTCTGTTCCTCATGCATTGAGTTATTACTTTCAGTGATGGGTCTTTTAATTTATACAATTTGTATTCAATTCTTTTTTAATGCTTCTAAAATTCTCCATCTTTTCATTTAGTTTCTTGAATATAACTATCGGCTTTTACCATTTGCTGAATTGCTATATTATTATTAAATCCAATTATTTTTAAATGAGACAAAAACATATTTAAAACATTATACCAAATGTTGAATTTGTTTATCCCCTTTCAATTAGGCCACTGCAATAGAGCAAGTGGTTTCCTGAATCATAATTCTTACAATGACCCCATATATAGTTAAATAAGAAAAGCAGACAATTGTCTCATAAATCGATAACAGTCTCCATATCCATGATTCTATAACCATGGTGAGAAATGTACACCCTGAATTCTTTACTTAAGGTCTTCATTAAAAGTGGCCCCATATAAAGCTTTGTCTAACTATTCCTCTATACTAAGCAATCACCTCCAAAATTTTCTGATATGCAATAAGGTAGAAACAGATCACTTTAATGCAATCGAAAACTGAATTGATACAAAGCTGAATTTCAGGATTTTCTGAGAACTAGTGTATTTCTTATTTACCCTTACTCCTAGGGTTTATCTCTTTAGGGTCCCAACTAAAAGCACAGGGTGTTTTCCAGTATTTGCCAGTATCCCCCTCTTCCATGGCCAGCCTAATTTTTATTCCCCAGCTCTCAGAGACTGTCTGCTCAAACCTCTGCTTCTGAGCCAGCTTCTTAATTAGCATATTTTAAGGGGAAGAGCAGCATCAGCTGTTGGACTCACCACTAAGGGCATCTCCCCTCTCAGGGAACTTAACGCTGCATATTCTTACTTCCTTGGTGTATCTCTGAGATCTTCAAACATATATTTTATTTAGTCCAGATTTCCTACCTCTTCTCGGCTGGAGGATTAACCTGAAGCAAAGCAGTCTTCTAATGAGGAAATGTGTTGCCATATTTTTAAAGTACTTTGTAAGATATATTTCATGTCACTAATAATTTAAACAGTAATTTCAAAAAACACTGTGGGTACCTACAAATAGTAATGTTACCTAAAATATTAATGAAAGTGAAAATTATCAAATTCATACCATATTTCTTTACATTTCATTTACCATTGTATTACTGCAATTACATTGTGAGGAAACAGAAGGTTTAGAGTACATTATACAATTATCTTGAGACCATATCTTTATTCCAGTTAAGTTTTTTTTCTCATAAACCTTCTCCTATATTACTAGGCTTTATGCATTATTTCTTGTGGAAAAAAAAATGTTTCCAATGTTGCTATATATAAGTCAGGTACAATCAATTATGTTTGTAGATTCCAGCAGGACGTTTGAATATTATGCAGGACATGAGATGATTCACTGTGTAACTGGGCAATGAGCTACATGTATCCAGCCTCCCTGGCCCATTGACCAGGAGCGTCTCCTCCCAAATTTTTAACAAGCAAAATGCTTCCACAAGTTTCCAAAATATCCTCTAGGACTCAGTATCACCTCTTTTGGAACCTCACATTAACTATATAATATCATCCCTGTAGACAGTGCTAGGTCCGGTATGTATGAATCCCAGGTACATTCTTAGAGGCCAAAGAGTAGAACTGAACCAGTCACACTGTGCATTCTGTTACCTCCCACACCTGACAACTCCTAAAGCTATCCTAAAATCAAGTGAAAACAAGTTACTGTCTAGGCAAAGGTAAAGAAGTCATCATACACCCTGGCATGTCTTCTTGGGTTAGGATGGGAGTGCTCCTGAGCTGGTGAGATATTATCTTCAGTAATAATAATCTCTTGTATTGTCACCTACCAAGTACTAGGCAATGAATTGTTTTAATCCTGTTATCTTAAACCTCTCAACAACCCTATAAGCAGGAACTACTTTTTTCCCAGTTTGGAGATGAGGAAATGAGACTTAAACATTTAAGTGACTTTCAAAGATTTTCAAACTATTAAGATCTTCTGTCATTCTGCTGCACTCTAACTGCTCCACTCAAGGCTTCCAGCCCTTTTAAAGCCTGGAGTCCCAGTTAAGGGTAGAAGGTAACCTCATGAGAATGGCTTGAGGAAAAAGAAAAAAAAAAAATAGGCCTAAGAGGGGATTAATACAGAACTGGCTCCATTCAGTCCCCAACTCCCCTACTCTGGGTATTGCCCAGGGAGCCCAACCCCAAAGGCCATCACTTAAGTGGCTGTATTTTCCTAAGCCCCTGAACCTAGTAACCCAGATTTCAGCCCTGTGTCCTTCATTCCTAGACAGTACGTTACTACTCGCCCAGCTTCCAAAGCCCTTTTGCTCACCCCTTACTCCCGCAGCCCTTACAGTCGCGGGTCCAGGAAATCCTCTACACCCCGTCTCTCTTTCAGAGTTCACAGTCTCCTGGCCCGGGAAGTGCAGGTTCCCGCCCAGTGTTGCTCCCAGAAAGCCTCACGAGCTGCGAGCTGCGCAGGCGCACCGGGAGCCACGCCCCTCCATGAGTACCTGCGCGGAGGCTGCCGGCCAGACTCTGTTTCCTAGGCAACACGGTACACAAACGCTGGCCCAAGCGGCACTGGCGTGATGTGCTTCAACAAAGCAGGTAAGGAGACCTGACTCAAGAGCAGAGGCAGGAAGAAAAGAGGGAGGCAGGGAAAGACCCAGGAGGAAAGGCGGGAAGAGGGGTTCAACCGCTGTTTGAAGTTGGTCAGGTTTTTGTTAAGAACTCCTTTGCCCAGTTCTCTACTCTGACTCCCTACTCACCACTTGCCCCCAAGTGCTCACGTAGACCAAGGAGCCTTCCCTCATGTGGAATTTCTCCTTCTTGATTCTCAGAGCCGCTGGTTAACTACTCCTTTGGAACACGTCAGCAGAGGAAGCTCTTTCCTCACTTCCATCCCCCAAGCTTGCTGGGGAACAAGTTTCTCCCTCTTAGGGGAGTGCCCCACCGAGGGCCTGGATGTTACATAACAGAAGATGTGAGTATTCACTTTCCCTTAGGCGGGTCTCAGTTCCCCCAACTATCTAAGGATACCCAAGTTTCCTGGAAGAAAAATCCTAACGAATTTGTGACCTCCAGGGCCTCAACATGAGAAAGTGCTCTGGTCCTCTGCAATCAGCTGTCAGGGCCAATATCAGAAAATATGGGGCCATTCCTCCCCTTTTACATCCCCCCCAAATGCAAGCCTTGGCCTCATAAATTCTCCAGTGTAGTCCCCACTCATTTCCACCTCCAAAGTCCTGTAAATCAATGTATCCCCTTAGTCCAAACTTGGACTGTGGCTGTGTTGGGAGGTTAGTTTATGAAATCATATAATCAGACTGACAGTTGCATTAGAGCAGACTTAAGCACCATGGGGCTCAGAGGACTGGATTCACTGGAATGCACAGAAATGGCTTTTATTCTGCCTATCCAGCCACATTCCTTTGTAGAGTTACCTGTGTTACTTATGTAATTGTATGGTCTTGGTTCAGAGGAGTTGAGAAAGAAAGAGCAATTTTTGCAGAAGAGGTTCAGGAATACTCTTAAGTTCACTCTGTTTTAATAACTATAATGTTCTCTATGTGTGTTTTTGCTTTCTTTGTTTTCTGTGTACTCCCTGCAGCTACATGGTTTGGCATACAACCTCTCTAAGATCCCAACCAGTAGAAAAGGATATGCTTTTGGAGCCAGAACAGCCATGAGGTTTAAGCCAATCAATAAGGTTAGAAATGACTGAATGTGCTTAGATTTTAGTGTGATCTGTGTTGTTGCGTGTTTTTGCATTGGAGAGCAAAGCTGGAGGTTACCTAAAAAATATGTCCTGAAATTCAAGAAAAATAGACATTTGAGAAAAAGCTGCAAAGAACCCTATCTGAAAAGCTGAGGTGTCAGCATTGCAAATACGTGTGTGTGTGAGAGAGTGTTCTGGGAGAGTAAAAAACAGTTCTCAGAAGAAATGATACCAAGGCAAGGGCTTCAGTCCTGAGATAGTTGATGTTAAAGTACTGGAGGCTTTATTAATATGCGTCATATCATCTTGTCAGTTAAAAAACAAATTCCAACTTCTTCACCCTTTTGTGAGATTGGATTTCAGGTCCTCAGTATAAGATCCTAATCTCTAGTTGGACATTTTCCTGACACTTAAGCTGAAGGAGAGGGATACTGGCTTTAAAAGAATCTCTGAGTGGGTTGGTGGGATGGTGGGGGTAGTAGGTGCAGCAAGTCACCTTGGCTCTGTACCCACCATTGGTTTATTTCTACAACCTAAGCATTAGGTATCTTTAGGTAGCTGAACCTAAAGCTGAACCTGAATCCTTCTTTGGGTTTGCCTGTTTCTATAGCTTGAGGTGATTAAAACATAGCTAATACATGAACAGGAAAAGGATGATTCTTTTTTTCTACTTATAATGCTTTATATGTATATAAGTCATTCTCTAACATATTCACCTTTTTCTTGGAAACAGGCTATGGCATCTTACCCAGGCATGTACCAGACAGTCAATCCTTGGGGACAAAAAGACAAACGAAATTTTGCTCCATTTAATGCCTTGTCACCTCGATTTAGGACATACTCAAAGGACCCTTGTTATCCTGGGTACGTGTCCCTTTTCTGGTGCACTTCAGAGAAGAACAATAGGAAGGGAGATACAAGAAGGGCTTACATCCCAACCATACCTGCTAGATAAGAAATCACTCATCTTTAAAGTTTCAAACTCTTGCCATCCAGGTCTCTAGAATCATAAAATTGTAAATTGTAGTGAGTCATTCAATAAATATTTATAAATGA